GTTTTCTTAGAATTTGGCGTAAGCATAATGGTGACGGAGCCCTTTCTCTGCCAAAAAGACTGATAATGTCAGAAAGAATTGTGTAAAAATCGTATTAGTGCAAAAATGAAGCATTCCAGAATTCTTGGAGCCAGAAAGACCTAGAATGAACTCATCCTCCCTTCTCTTCGTTTGCCTCCTTTCCTGCAAATTGCCCCAACCTCCAACGCTCAAATTGATTTTATTACTTCATGAAATTAATCTCAAGTTATCATTCTGTTACTCTTTCTCCAAAGTGAGAGAAAGTGAAAGAAAAATGTGTTACAAAGATACTGTTAAAAGAAATATACATGGTGTTTTGCTGAAGTTTGGAATTATCCTGGAGAAAAAATCTGAACCTCTTAACATTTCTACTCCTTTTCAGTAGGTGCTAAACTCAGTGCTGTGAAAACAATAAGTACATTACAGAAATGATAAGGCGATGTCAGTGAAGATTTAGGGGGGTGGAAGAAGGAAGAAAAACAACTAAAAAGGAAGGGTGGCCCCTTGTTTCTGCTTTTCTCTAATCAAACACAATTAAAATTGTATACATTCTAAAATGAGAAAAACAAGATTTATCGTAGTTTCATAGCTATCGTATTACACCCAGAAGTGAAAGAAATATTTGGAATGGCACCTAAAATTTCAATTGCTGAAAGATTTTTAGAAAACCAGTTTTGTATGTTTCAGCCCTTCAAAGGAAAATAGAACTTGGGAGTTTTCAAGGCTGTTCTGAAACTGGCAAGTTACCAACTCTGGCTATCAATGCAAATCTGGGCAGGAAGTACTAAGGAAATTCTAAACTCATTCCCTCCCTCGGCAAGATTTTCTACATTTTCATGTGCAAGAAGTGTGTTAAAGGGTTGTTTTGTTTTTGAAGGATCTGTACATTCACATCTTTAAGAACAGCCTTTGCCCCCAGGAGTGTCTGTCTTCATTTGCTTCTCCTCAGCCCTACTGTTCTCAAGTGTTTTACTCTTTTTATGGCACAATCCACTGTGCTCCAGCGAGACTTTTAGAGAGGGGCGGCAGTCCAGGCTGCAGATGGTTGGAAATTCAGCCTGAAATCAGTGTGCTCTTGATGAATCACTCCCTACACCTGACCCCAACTTCGCACCAGGCTCTGAACACAATCTGAGTATCACCAGCCAGAGAAGCTCTGACAGGGTCCCAGAGTCTGAAGCCTTTGCTTCGAGATCTTCCTGGGTAGCAGATGGGGATGCACTAGACTGATGTAAGAGCAATACGATTAGAAACTGTGTCCTGGGATGGGTAGAAACATAGTGAACTGGTAGGAAGACAGACAAGTTTGCTGAGTGTGCTTTGACGAATTTTAAAGTTTTTATAAAGATAATTAAAGTTTTCCAAAATATCACAGATATAGGAGAGAAATAGCATTTCTCCTCTGCAAAACAGCAATTCACCAGGTTGTGACCATGTTTTTACTCTTTTTAGCTTTTCTAGTTTAACTAGTTTGCTTTTCCAAGAACACACCCCCCCCCAAAAAAAACCCTCAAAATCAGACTGAAATTCTTATCCTGGATCTCAAAATGCAAAAGCAACAGGTCAGTTGCTTTGAATGGGCGGAGACAAAATTCTTGAGAAATATTAGGTTACAACTCAATCAAACATCATTATGTAAATTATCACTAAGCTAATGAACAATTTTTTTATTCCCTTTCTCTAAAACCTGCTGATTATTCTGGGTGGATTCCCAACAGCAAATTTCTTTAAATGAAAGTCATGCCGTTTAATCCAGTTATGTCTCTTATTTAAATATCATGAAATGTCACCAAGATATCTTCATTACTTCTTAATCAAAAGCAACACTCGCTTTTTGAAATTGCTCCTCTTGGTAGGAAAAAAATTGATCAAAAGGAAAATTAACAAATGGCAACTTTTAATGTGAGGTCTGGCAGAGTAAGCATATTTGACAATGTTGCTACAAGGTATAGCTACAAGTCAGCCACTGAGTTTCCATTTTATAGAACTTACAAGTGGATTTTTCTAACAAAACATTTTAAGCCTCTGGAAAAATCATTCAAAGGGACAAAAACGTAAATATCTTATTTCTATTTTAAAAATGTTTAGGCAACAAAGTTAAGAGACTGCCTTTAATGTAATGGAAAGTGAGAGGAACGGAGAAGGCAGGGGAGAGTGTCCCAAGCTTTTTTAAAACTTTAATTACACTTGAAAAACATTTGCGTTTATTTCCAAATCTCATTTTCACTTTGTTTTATCATGAGAAAATAGCAACTGTATCTGACACACATACTTAAGTAGAATGAGAAGGTTCAGTACTTTTGCCTTTTCTGAATGAATACAATAGACATTATAGTTCTTTAAAATCCCCTGAAGATTTTCCACCCAAAACGAATGTCAACAAACAGCTTTTGTGGGTTAGTAAAAAAAAGAAATCACCTGAATTAAGAGGGCAGTTGATAGTGGTATCACCAGAGGATAACTATCAAGTGTAGATTTCTAATTATATCACCCCTAAGTATTCTTTATATGTCAGCATCATTTTAAATAGCTATGATTTAAAAAATAAGATTATAACTACATGCTAAGTCTAGAACACAGTGGATTATATGAATCCACCTCACCTCGAAAATAAATATAAGCAGAATGTAGATCCTCCAAAATTATTACAGGGTATATTTTGAGATATAAGTGTAAAAAGGCCAAAGAGTGATATTGAAATAACCCCATGGTTTTCACGATATACTGGGGCATGACAACACTTTTTTTTTATATAGTATTCAGGCTGTCAGAAGGTCTCCGCCTTTCAAAATACAACTGCACATTGACCCTTCCTCCCATTTCTTGTGTGACCGAGTTTCAAAATAGGGCACGTGTTCACATCCTCAGCTTCCAGGAATGTTACTAATGTCTGTCATTTCAGAGCCACCGTAACAACATTCGACAACCTCACAGCACTGTAGAAATTTTACAACATAATAATCAATAGGAATTACCCTGATAGCCGAAGTAGCTGATCTTATATTCCCTACCACCCTGATCTGATTACCCCAATATCAGCTTAGGTCGCCTAATGGATCTCACTTCTTTAAAAATGTTCCAGAAGTCGATGGCTTTGACTAGCTTGAAAGTAACAAGATCCAGATGCCGCCTGTCTACACAACACTAAACTACATAGGACCCCAAAACAGCTTTTTAAAAAAACTCCCTCTGTATTTTTCAGTCTCTCCTCTCTTCCTCACCACTCCACTTTCCCCTTTATTGCAGTCAGACACACACTTTCCACCAGTGGGACGCATCCAGCACCCTGTGTCTTTAATACAATGTGCATGACATTACTTCCTGGTAGGAATAGGTTAAAAGAAATCTCAAGCAGAAAAGCAATTATTCCATTCATTTTGATCTAAAGTTTCTTTTCTAAATATACTGCCTAGCAGTCGAAAACAAGGACCAAAGGGAAGAGTGTGAATTTTGAAACATTTGGAAAAATTTAGCCAAATGAGTAGAAGGGATGGAATGTCCGATATTTTTCATGCAACCCTTGATTTTGTTGTTTTTTGTTTCTTCAGGGGATGAGAAATGGCCATAAATTTCCCCCTTTCGACTTGTCCTTGCTTTGCCATTTCCTCAAGGAAGGCAGGCACTGTTCTCCGCCCAATCCCCAAAGAGTTAAAACTCAAGGCACTGGAGCAGAAGGGCTGGTCTATTTAAGCAGCAGCAGCACAAACTAAATGCTCACAAAGGCAAAAAGCAATGTGAGTCGACCTTGGAGGGGCAGGGCAAATCATAGAGCGATGGAAAAAGAAAGGAAAAAAAAAAGCAACCATCTTTAATATAATATTGAAAGTCTGCAGCCTGGTCTGGCTCACAGATAGGCATTGTTTGATGAGACAGAATAAATGAGAGATAACTACAGCATGAATTACTAAAGCCTAATCACATCAACCAGTCCTGGTGACAGCCCAGATCACTCAGGCACGCCTTGTGCACTCTCGGCATATTTATCTCCTAAGAAGACTGTGGAGTCTGGCTAATGCCGCACAAAATAGTATGACCTGTAAAGAAATATAACCCATGCATTCAAGGTGGGAACTCTACAGACATTTCTCGCCCACCCCCCTGCCCAGATCAAGTCCAATTTAATTGACAAATTGGAGCAGTGATATCACACCTGAAAGCCCTTCATGTGTGAACTGCAGGATAAAGTTCAGAGCTGGCACTGCCTACTGCTCAGTTCCACGGGCTTGCCACTGGCCCCTAACGATCACCTGAGCACACACTAAAGCCTGAAGTATTTAACCAATGCACGTCCGAATACCATCACTTCCATTTCATCCCATTTCACGACCCGGGCCTTCTGAAGGCAGCCAGCACAGACAGAGCTCCTGAAAGTCAAGAGCATCTATTGTAAACCTCCACAATTCAGTCTCTAGCATCCTGATCATCCACTATATGAAATAAAAAAACATAAGGCAAATTTTAACAAAATACACCAGAACAAACTCCAAGAGACTTTACTTAACTGTCTTATACCTTCCATAACCTTCTTTTATTCTATACTCAGCGATTAAAAGTTTGAGTTACTCCCACCCTGGTGTGTCCTATCCAGTGGGAAAAACCCTCTTAGAGTCACAAACAAAGAACAGCTCTCTGGAAAAGCCCCGAAAACTGTACTCTTTAGCCTGATTATCACTGTTAGGATCTCCTTTCTAACAACCCTGACCATCTGCAAAGGACTTTACAGATACCAGGAACATTTATGCTGCCAAATGACAACAAAGGAACTCCAGTGAAACTATTATCTCTCCTTAAAGAGAAAGCCACAATTCCTTTCTTCTTCTAGTCTCCACTGCCTCATTACCTCCATTGGTATGTTACTAATTTCAAAGAAGCAGGAAGAAGTGATGGGGCGGGGGCTTAAAGAATAATTCACATGCCTATTTCCCATCCCAAGTGCAGGAGGATCCCACACTGCTGCCAGACTGTGGGTCGAGCCATACCTTGGTTTGGAGATAATGAGGATAGTAGTAAGTGTACTGGGGGTACATTTGTGGCTGATCCAGGCGTTTGCCCATGTAGCTGGAATCTTTATCTCCGAGGCAGGGAACTGGATGACAGGGTATGGTGCCCCAGGCCGAGCTTCCTCTTAAACCACTATTCCTGACAGTCCCGATGACTGATGAGGCTTCCGAGATTCCTGTTTTCCACCACTCGCTACTTCCAACACAGCCAGAATATAAAAAAGAAACACACCAAAAAAAAAAAAAAAAGGCGATGGGGACCGGTAGGGGGAAAAATCCACACAGCTTCCCCAGATCTTGTCTGCCTTCCCCCAGCTGCCAGAGTCCACTTGGGATGAGGCAGTTTGTTCCCTACCAGGCTGTCTGTAGTGATGTCAATTGCCAGCGTTTGTAAAAGGAAAAAAAAAAAAATCAAAGTCCTTTCAGCATAACTCCGAATCCTTGCAGATCAGCTTCCTGTCTCCTGTTTGTCTCTTTTCTCACCTTAAAGAAAAACCAAATAAAAAGAAAAAAAAGAAAGAGAGAAAGAGAAAGAAAGAAGGAAAAGAAAACAGGGGAAAAAGAAAGAAAAAGAAAGGGGAAAAGAAAAAGGAAAAAAAAAACCTTGCACAGCTTAGTTGCTGCTGTCTCCCTCCCAGAGTGACATGGTGATCGGGGCTTGTCCTGTCCTTTCATTCACTTCCCCTCCTTCCAGCCGGTGGGTGGAACCGAGAGAGCCTCTCCAGGGAGCAGCGTACGCAGTCCAGAAGGCTGCAGTATTTCCTCCAAGAAAAAAAAAAAAACGGCTGCTTCAACCCCTGCTGCAAGCAAAGTTCCGATTCCCTCTGCTGGCTATCTCGAATAGCAAAGCGATTTTTGCAGGGAAGCTGCTGCCGCTGGAACTGAACCGGGAAACTCAGATGCGGGCGGTGGATTATTTCTTATCCTTCCCTCCATCTACTCCACAGAAGAGCTGCCTGCGTTCCTCTCCGTGCCAAGTTTCAAGGTAAGCCAAACTGCTAAACAAAACACTGAAGACCGTGGGAGGGAGGAGAGGACGAACGGAGGAAGGAAGAGAAAGGGGGGGGGGGGAGTCAAGGAAGAGGGACTAACCTTGCTGGTTAAAATGCAAAAAGTATGTCCTGGGTGCTTTCAAAACCTGTTAACACACTAAAGCCAGATGAATCCAAGACCTGGTTTAGAAACTAATGTTTTACTTCTTGGAGGACGTGGAGGATGCTAAGTATTGAGAAATTCTGAGTCTACACCAGGACTACTGTTAACAAACCCTGCTTCACCAATCACAGTGACCAACTTATCATAACAGGAATAGTCGTTCTTCAATAGCCATTCCATTCTATTTGTAAATATCAAAAGAGATGTTCCCTCGGGCTTGTGAACTTCTTTTTAAATAAAAGCACTGGTTCTTTCATTGTCTATCTCTTTATGATTATTTTGATCGTGGATGCTCTAATCACTTTACTGATATCACTCACACACATACATACACACAGAACAAAAATCATAATTACTTGGCAAAGTTTTTCCCCCACCAATAGTAAGTGATATTCTGACATGTCAATCAGCAACTGCATTAGAATATGAATTGTTTCCAAGAAAATATATTTCCTTAAAGGGTCTCTTTTCGAGGCTGGCAAGGCTAAAATTAGCCTCGCCAGCTGTGTTTTGCTGGGAGTGCTCACGCATGCCCAAAGCATGGGCAGGCCAATACTGAGCCGCTCTCTGCTTTGTCAAGCCGGCTCTGTTCTCCCCAGCCCAGAGTCAGCCTTTTAGTGAGAAAGTTCTTGGTACAAATCCAGTTTGCTAGTCAGGAGCAGCATTCGAGCGCAATGCACAATATGGTGTCCATCCACTAACAAGCCTTGAGGCCATCGGCTTCCGCTTGAGGGTCTGGTTTCTTAAAACTGTGTGAGTGCAGGCTTGTTCCTTGGAGAAAGATAAGGGTGGTGAGTAAATAGTTTTATGTTTGACTGCTGACAAACACAACAATCAGAAGGAAGGAAGGAGAGAGGATAGGAGGGTAGGAGTTAGGAGCCCTGAGAAACCCTGTTATTGAAGAAGTGAAATCAACTCCTCTGATGTTTAAATGCATTATTCTGGGCCTCAGTTGTCCCATCTGGAAAATGAAAATACTGCCGACTTACCTGAATGAAGGTGGTGTACTACAGCAGATGCTAAATAAACATCCCATTGGTTTAAAAATCCTTCAGTGGCATCTCCTTGCTCGGGCTATAGAGCCTGACTCCTGGAATAGTTTTCAAGAGACTTGAAAATCCCACTTCCTTCTTCTGACTCCGATGCTAAAATCTGCACCTTACCTGCTACACCTGAGTCACGCTGAACTGCGTTTAAGACTGAAAAGTGCTCACTCAGGGCCTTCTGTCATTCCCTCTAATCAGAGTGTTCTCCCAAATCCACTGCCATGTCCCTTACCCTTCACCACAGCCTTTAGCCCTCAGCATGGATATCAGCCCCCTCTAGTAGCTTTCCCTGAACGCCTGCTACCCCGCTACACCTTGTATTTGACCTAATATTGTTCTTATCCTATGTTAATTGCAAGTTGCTTCTATGATACTTTAAAAGCATCAGGAAAGACAGGGATGTAGGTGTTCCCATTACGCTGGTTTATTGTCCTATTGCCAAAACTGGTGTGGTATCCAGCATAAATGGATGCTCTGTAAATGTTTGGTGAATAAGACATCTTAAACATAGTAATTCCAACACCCTTCATGACCTTGTTTCAGTCCATTACAGGACATTTCTGGGTGCAGGAGATGTGGTGATATGTGGGTCAGAACGAGGCCCTTCCCTCAGACACTGTCTAGTCAGGGAGATAAACAAAGGGATGGGCAAGGTATACATGGGCAATATAAGATCACGTGACATTAGTGCTGCTACTAAATACAAAGCTGAGTAAAGAAAGTCAGAATCACAGGGATTCCACCTTCAATAAGATAATGGGAACTGCTCTCTGAGGAGGCGCTCTGGGGTTAAAGGAAGGGCGTCACCCTGCCCTGGGTGTTGTATCCTGGGAGAACACAGATTGCAAAAGCCCTGGCTCACACCCAAACTGCCTTGGTTCCAGTCCTGCCTCTGATGGATCACAGTGCCCCCTTTTATTCCCTTCCGTCAGTGCCACAACCCACTTCCTATGGTCGCCATGAGAAGTTGCCTAAGAAACATGTAAAGTAGTTATAATACCATAGAACACGTTGGATATGCTCAGAAGATGTCAGCCTGCATCGGGGGGAAGAGTGTTCCACGCAGAGGGAACAGCAAGAATAGAAAACCTGACAACAGGAGTGTATTTCTGGAATGTGTGAGAAATGGTGCAGGTGCTGGAATGAAGAGGGGAGTAAAGACTATAAAAATGATGCTAGAGAGATACCTTGGAGCCATACTGGAAAAGCCCAGTAAACACTTGCTATGGAAAGTTTAAATTAGGGACAGCTGAGAGCCCACAGCCAAGATCGTATCCAACTATTCCAACTGTACATCTAGACAACTTCAACCACAGAGCCCAGTCCTCCTACATGGCCTATTGTGGTTCTTCCAAATTCTGAGACCTGTACCATCAGGATCCTAGATGCCTATGCCAAGTTTGCCACCAAAGACAAAAGACATCGGGATTCTTTTATTAATAACTGATCTAGATACTCCTTGAAGGGAAAAGAATCCTGTCTTATTTACAAATAAAAGGCAAAATGACTCCTCAACCCAAGCTATAATCCACTTGCTTGTAAAGTTCCCAGCACGTGTGGATGCTGTCACAATGTCTGCACAAATGTCCACTTCTCGAAAGGCTATTTCTTCTATTCCATTAGATTACTGTTATGTTCTGTACATCAGTTGTCATTAGCTAAAAACCATTCATTGAACATTTAAAGCTTTTCTTAAATAATGCAAAGACAGTTCAACACTTGTAGGAATTGTAAAACCCATGATTTATTCATATTTAAAAAAAATTTCCCTAGATACCAGCAGCCATGGCAATTTGGGAGGGAAGATACTCATGTTGGAAATAGTTTTTTTTAATCATACCTGCTCTGTTGAAGCCGCACTGCTTTCCAATTATATGATCAAGTTAAGGTAGGAGGTAACTAGTTTAAGGCACATTCTAAATCTGAAGCCAGCTGGGTCCCATTTGCCAACAATCCACCAAATTCTTTACAAATTAAAGAGTAGCACCTGTAGCAAAGGGCACAGACTCTCACAGATTCACGTGTCTCTCAATGGCAACTAGAGAGGCAGTCATCTTGACCAGTTCTTGGCTGGCAGGAATAAAGTGCTTGCAGAAGGGATCGCTCTGAAAGGAGGGTCTGCTGAGTGGACATGGAGAGTCTCTTTCTCTTCTTATATGCCCTTGACCTATCCACTCAAGGAAAACACAAGTCCTTTGGGCGGCAGATTTACTTTTTAAATTACGAAGAATTAGTAAAGAGCAAAAGAAGAAAAGAAATACAAGAAAAAATAATTGTACTATCTTTGAAAGCACATATACTATTCTATCATCAAGAAGACATTCTTGAGTAACTTTTTTTAAATTTGGCATTTTCTTCCTTCTTTATTCGAATTTGTGAATTCCCTTTCAATACGGCAACTTCCAAAGAAGTGCTAAACAGAAAAGTTCATTCTTAAAAAGAAGACAAGATGGTACATTTCCAATTCCAACATTAATGACATAACTTTTCTTTTCTCCTACTCAATGCTTACAAATGGTTTAAGAAAACACCTGAGACAAATTAGGAAAAGAGACTGGTGATTCAACATTTGTGGTCCAAATTTAAATTTAAATATTTGCGTTTATAATGCAAAGAGTTTTGCATTATAATGGATGCAAAAATATTACTGTAGATAAAAACAATAAAAATATGCCTTGGGAAGATACAAACAAATGGAAACATATACTGTGTTCATCGATTGGAATAATTAGCACCATCAAAATGTCCATACTACCCAAAGCAACTTACAGAGTTAATGTAATACCCATTAAAGTACCAATGGCATATTTCACAGACATAGAACAAACACTTCAAAAATTTATATGGAACCATAGGCCCTGGCTGGTGTAGCTCAGTGGATTGAGCGCGGGCCTGCGAACCAAAAGATTGTGGTTTGATTCCCAGTCAGGGCACATGCCTGGGTTGCAGGCCAGTTCCCAGCAGGGATGCACGAGAGGCAACCATACATTGATGTTTCCCTCTCTCCTTCCCTTACCCTTCCCTTCCCCTCTAAAGAAAAATAAATAAAATCTTTTTAAAAATTTATATGGAACCATAAACAACTCCGAATAGCAGCTGCAATTTTGAGAAAGAAGAACAAAGTAGGAGGGATCACAATACCTGAAACCAAACTGTATTATAAGGCCACTATAATCAAAACAGCCTGGTACGGGCATAAAAACAGGCACATAGACCAATGGAACAGAATAGAGAGCCCAGAAATAAACCCAAGTTTCTACAGGCAATTAATGCTCAACAAAGGGGGC